ACGTTACAACGTCATCCTCAGGAGTGTTTTAAAAGTGCGCAACTAAGATAATAGAGGCACAAAGTCAAAAGGGAAGAGGGTTGTTCCTGTGGTAGAGCTGACAAACCTGGTTCGCATCCGTGCGATACCATAGGATATTCTGCATATTTTAAGCGGTAGGTGCGTTATAAGAGTGAGTGTCAATCCATTAGCGTGGGTGATAATATTTTACTGAATAGCTACTTTTCCTCTATTCAGTAGTGCATTACATTTTGTGTGTCATTTCACTAAATACCGAGGCTTACCTTGCCTAGTTCTGTGTGTTACTTCACTAAACAACGAGGCTTACCTTGCCTAGTTCTGTGTGTTACTTCACTAAACAACGAGGCTTACCTTGCATAGTTCTGTGTGTCACTTCACTAAATACTGAGGCTAACGTTGCCTAGTTCTGTGTGTTACTTCATTAAACACTGAGGCTTACCTTGCGTAGTTCTGTGTGTCACTTCACTAAACAACGAGGCTTATCTTGCCTACTCCTTCCCGTGTGTCTCTTCACTAGAAAACGAGGGTCACTTTATTAAAACTGGGGGTGACACTTGGTACACCTATGATTCGTTTTGTTAACACCGACGGGGATTTTTCTTATGCATAAAAAAAGGATTATTGAATGGGTTTTTGTTGACAAGTAAATTATATCGCAAACGTTTCGAAAGAGAGCAACAGCAAGAAAAAAGTAAAGTGTGAATATGAAGAAAGTAATGTAAAAAGTATAGTGTGAATATGAAGAAAGTAATGTAAAAAGTATAGTGTGAATATGAAGAAAGTAATGTAAAAATTATCGTGTGGATATGAAGAAAGTAATGTAGAAATTATCGTGTGGATATGAAGAAAGTAATGTAAAAAAGTATAGTGTGAATATGAAGAAAGTAACGTAAAAAAGTATAGTGTGAATATGAAGAAAGTAACGTAAAAAAGTATATTGTGGATATGAAGAAAGTAACGTAAAAAAGTATAGTGTGAATATGAAGAAAGTAATGTAAGAAAGTAGAGTGTGGATATGAAGAAAGTAATGTAAGAAAGTAGAGTGTGGATATGAAGAAAGTAATGTGAGAAAGTAGAGTGTGAATATGAAGAAAGTAATGTGAGAAAGTAGAGTGTGGATATGAAGAAAGTAATGTAATACGATTTATTTTACTACATAATAAAAATATAACATTTTTAATGCATTGATCACTTTTCTTTGTTACCGAAAAGTGAGAGTAACGGCACGTGCTAGCCCTCTTACAGTATGAGACAAAAGTGTAATTATACTTGAATAATAATAACTGAAATTAATTAGCACTTCCTATTTAAACAAACCAAAGAACACTGTTTTCAGGGTTTAATATATCAAATTACAGACTGGTGGGGTGCTACTTCTGACCGGCTGCCATCTTCCTGGTCAGTAGTTCAAAATTAAGGATGGCGGTTAATAGCCTGTTTTGCCGTAAAAATGAAATCAAAATACCTAACTGTGCAATCCCAAGTACATCGTACTTCTAAAACAAAATAAATAAAAACCAACAAACACATCACGGATAGTCCATTGTGTACTTTTGTGTTCCACATCAAACAAACAGTTCTGAAAAAACAACATCAAATTTACATAGAAAAGTGTTATAACCCACCATGTCACATTGTTGGTAAAATGGTGGATGGTTGGAGTCAGCTGATGAGCCATATTCGTCGAAAACTCCGTATCTCAGATGAGCCCACTCATGCACCAGATATCTTTCTGTGAAAAATAAAGGTTTTTATTCATATTAACAAAAACTGGAATCTGGTAGCTTACCGATAAGCTTATAAGGCTAAAGTATGGAGTTTGATTCCTGCGACGATCCTCACCCTTCTATGGATACATTATTTCTATAGTGATAAAGTTCTAAAACCTTGAGGAAACAAATGGAGACAAAGCAACTGAAACCAAGTTGTTTGTTAAAATCATAAATAATATTCAACGTTAAACTGGTGCACAATTAAAAACATTTTAGTTAGGCCTATTTATGGCCTTCAAAAAATTGACGACTCTACATGTTTCATCCTCTACATCCTCAGTTGTAACGTCGAAACATTTAGAGTCGTCAACTTTTTGAAAGCCATAGATAGGCCTAAATAAAATGTTTTTAATTGT